AACTTTCTAAACAAAGGGACAGTTTACTGGCTTTCACACTTTAAGGGGGCCAGCCTATGGCCATTGGGAGTAGAAATTGTCCCGCATCATTGCATTAAACAATGCATGTTTGGCACTAGGGGAGGAACAATGCCCTATTCGTGGTGTAACTTGGAGAAATAGTTCCCCATCGTTGGTGTCAGTGGGAAGAATAGTGCCCTGTTGTTGGTGTCAGCGGGGGAATAGTGCTCTGTTTTTGGTGTCAGTGGGGGGAATAGTGCCCCATGGTTTGATTCAGTGAGAGGAATAGTGACTGTTGTTGATGTCAGTAGCAGGAATTATGCTCCCTTGTTGATACCAGTGGGAGAAATCGTGTCTTGTATCAGTGGGAAAAAGTGTCCCAAGGGCCGGATGAGGGCAAGCAAAGGGCCGCATCTGGCTCCTGGGCCATAGTTTGGAGTTTTTTGGGTTTTTTACCAGTGTTCATTTAAAAATAAATAATGTTACTGCAGATTACAGCACAATGCACATTTTCAGTAATTTGTCCTGCATAAAATGACACTAAAATTATGATTCTGGTACAAAGCATTGCAAAGTTATTTACAAATGAAAGTGGGTTTTTTTTTTCAGTGTTGCACTTTTTTTCAATGTTGCACTTTTTTAAATGGAAAGAATGTAAATATATGTTAAAGGTGTAAAAACATTAAGGAACAAAGCAAACAAAAACAAAAAAATTAAATATCAATGGTTAATAAATTAGATGAGAAATTAACAGAAAAAAAACAGTAGGAAAATAATAATTGAATGGATAAGGAGAATAAGGAGTTAGCTATGGCTGATTAGAGTAAACTTAAGAATTCATATGGGTTTAAATGGAGAAACATTTTATTAAAAAAAAAAAAAAAAACTCTTTTCACTTCTCAGGTTGCTTTAACTGACTTCATCTGCATGGATGTTTATCCCTTTGATCTGCAGATGAATGAACAGAATGACACAAATGTAACAATATATTACATTGTATCTTTCTGTAGTCTGAGCAAGTCTTATATATAAACACTGTCAGACTGCATTTTTTTTTTTAATCGGAAAACTGTGATTTACTCTGTGTGCACATTAATCCGGCTTTGATTAATCGGAACTGAATTGCTGTGTACTGGGAGGGGGGGAGAAAGGGCAGAAGGACTGGACGTGCTAGTGGGCTACACGTCCTGGGTACAATGATGATCTTTTTTGGGTGTGTGTATTACGCCCAAAGTCTGCAACTTAAACAAAAAAAATAACAAAATAAACCTATTTAAGTATGTATTCTTAACTTAAAGTGATTTTAAATCTTCATTTTTTATTTTACTGAAATAACAAACATGTCATACTTACCTAGTCTGTGCAATGGTTTTGCAAAATGCAGATCCAGTCCTCCGCTTCTGGCTTCCCATGATGGTGCTACTGGCTCCACCCTCCTGCCAAGTGCCCCCATAGCAAGCCACTTGTTCTGGGGATACTTGGAATGGGGGATGGGTCCGAGCTCCACTCCCTCGTCACTGGCTCTGATTGACAGCAGCGGGAGCCATTGAGGAGCAAGAGAGCTGAGAGAGCCTGGGCTCTCATGTACATTGCTGGCTCAAGATCACAAGCAGAATGCAAAGGTCAAAAACCTTCTGCTTTTTACAACCACTTTAAACCAAGTACCTTATATAGCTCTCAGCCTCCTCTAAATCTCCAATTTTTATTTGTTTGTAATTTCCTGTTAGAGGGTAGCTACCTTTGTTCTCCATGGTCTCACTATATGTAGGAACATAGCCAACATCTTCAGCTTGCTTCAGAGATGGACTAAGGGCTATGGAATGTTTAGTGTGCATAGAGTAGTGCACATGACCCCAACTTATGTGCACTGCTTGTTACAAACATAAGTGAGAGGGAAAAGGAGAGGTTTAGGAGCTTAGAGAGGAGGATTTTACGGGGGGGGGGCAGAAAAACGCAGTAAGAAATTATTTCATGAAAATCAGAATACAGGTAGTTTAAGTAGTGGATGTGTATGGATTACTTTAGAATATAAATATAGAATTAAGTGTCACTTTAATAGGGTTTTTCTTTCCTTTTTATCCACTTCCCCTCCACCCTATAGCAGAAATACTGCTACAGGGTGGCAGGGGGAGCGCAAAATCACATGTGCATGTGATGTATATATATATATATATATATATATATATACAGTCATGGCCGAAATTGTTGGCACCCTTGATATTTTTCCTGAAAATCAAGTATTTCACACAAAAAAGGTATTGCATTAACACATGTTTTGCTATACACATGTTTATTCCCTTTGTATGTATTGGAACAAATATAAAACAGAGGCAGAAAAGCAAATATGACATAATGTCACACAAAACCCCCAAAATGGGCTGGACAAAAGTATTGGCACCCTTAACTTAATATTTGGTTGCACACCCTTTGAAAACATAACTGAAATCAGTCGCTTCCTATAACCATCAATAAGCTTCTGACACCTCTCACCGGAATTTTGGACCACTCTTCCTTTGCAAACAGCTCCAGGTCTCTCTTATTGGAAGGACACCTTTTCCCAACAGCAATTTTAAGATCTCTCCACAGGTGTTCAATGGGATTTAGATCTGGGCTCATTGCTGGCCACTTCAGAACTCTCCAGCGCTTCTTTGCCATCCATTTCTGAGTGCTTTTTGACGTATGTTTGGGGTCATTGTCCTGCTGGAAGACCCAGGATCTTGGACGCAAACCCAGCTTTCTGACACTGGGCCCTACAGTGCGACCCCCAAAATCCTTTGGTAATCCTCAGATTTCATGATGCCTTGCACACAGTCAAGGCACCCAGTGCCAGAGGCAGCAAAAACAACCCCAAAACATCATTGAACCTCCACCCATATTTTTACCGTAGGTACTGTGTTTTGTTCTTTGTAGGCCTCATTCCGTTTTCGGTAAACAGTAGAATGATGTGCTTTACCGAAAAGCTCTATCTTGGTCTCATCTGTCCACAAGACGTTTTCCCAGAAGGCTTTTGGCTTACTCAAGTACATTTTGGCAAACTGTAGTCTTGTTTTTTATGTCTCTGTGTCAGCAGTGGGGTCCTCCTGGGTCTCCTGCCATAGCGTTTCATTTCATTTAAATGTCGACGGATAGTTCGCGCTGACACTGATGCTCCCTGAGCCTGCAGGACAGCTTGAATGTCTTTGGAACATGTTTGGGGCTGCTTATCCACCATCCGGACTATTCTGCGTTGCAATCTTTCATCAATTTTCCTCATCCGTCCACGACCAGGGAGATTAGCTACAGTGCCATGGGTTGCAAACTTCTTGATAATGTTGCGCACTGTGGACAAAGGCAAATCTAGTTCTCTGGAGATGGACTTGTAACCTGAGATTGTTGATATTTTGCCACAATTTTGGTTCTCAGGTCCTCAGACAGTTCTCGTCTCCTCTTTCTGTTGTCCATGCTTAGTGTGGCACAGACAGACACACAATGCAAAGGTTAAGTGAACGTCTCTCCTTTTTATCTGCTTTCAGGTGTGATTTCTATATTGCCCACACCTGTTACTTGCCCCAGGTGAGTTTACAGAGAGCATCACATGCTTGTAACATTCTTATTTATCCGCAGTTGTGAAAGGGTGCCAATACTTTTGTCCAGCCCATTTTTGGAGGTTTGTGTGACATTATGTCGAATTTGCTTTCTTTCCTCCCTTTTTTTGTTTTGTCCCAATATACACACAAGGGAATAAACATGTGTATAGCAAAAACATGTGTTAATGCAATACGTTTCGTGAGAAATACATGATTTTCAGGAAAAATATCAAGGGTGCCAACAATTTCGGCCATGACTGTATATATATATATATATATATATATATAATGATTTTGCATTTCCAGGTAGGGGGTGTGCGAGAGACACACGCACGCCCTACCTGTGCCGCCATTCGCAGTCTCAGCTTTCAATCACTGGGTCCCGGACGGTGATTACTCGCTAGCACCCGGTGATCAACAGAGTATTACCGTTGGGGGGGAGAGAGTATAAGCAACACAGATCTCTCCCCTGTCAGCTCCTGCACACTGCTTTTGTATGGCTCTGCATAGCACAGCCATACAAAGCAGTGTGCTTACAGTGAAGCACACACAAAGCACAGAATGTGAAACGGCATACAGCACACAGTTAACCCTTTGATTGCCCCAGATGTTAACCCCTTCCTGCTCAGTATCATTAATACCAGGTCAGTGCTTTTTATTAGCACTGATCACTGTATTTGTGTCACTGGGGATGTCAGTGACACCAAGTCAGTTCCCCCCATTGTCAGAATGCCCCTCCGTAGTCCCACAGTCCTGCTATAAGTCGCTGATCACCGCCATTTACTAAAAAAAAAATTCCAGTATATATACCGCCATTTGTAAACGCTATAACTTTCACGTAAGCCAATTAATTTACACGTATTGGAAATTTTAGGGTTTTTTTTTTAGCAAAGACATGGCTAAATACATGTTGGCCTAAATCTGAAGAAATTTGATTTTTAAAATGTTTTCACTGGACATGTTTAATAGCAAAAAGTAAAAAAATATAGTTCTGATTTTTTTTTTTCAAAATTGTCGTTTTTTTTTTGTTTATAGTGCAAAAAATAAAAACCTCAGAGGCAATCAAATGATCAAATACCACCAAAAGAAAGCTCTATTTGTGGGGGGGGAAAAAAAGGACATAAATTTAATTTAGGTACAATGTTGCATGACTGCGCAATTGTCAGTTAAAGTAATGCAGCGCCGTATCGCAAAAAATGGCCTGGGGGGGGGTTGTAGATCCTCTGGAGGGCAAGTGGATAAATTATCCAGTTTACCTAAATTCTCTGCACAATTGGTCTTCCCTGCCTCCTGGGTTTCTAGTTTAATCAGAACTGAACTCTACCCAGTACTTATTTTGAACAGAGGACCTTTCTCAGTACCACCCAGGGACATTTCCCAGTACAGGGCCCTTTGGAAATGCTGTCCTAGGGATATAGAATGCTGTAATATTACCTGCTTGTTCCTCTCTTTTTGCTCTGATAGACTCATGCCTTGGCTCTTCAGTCTCTCTTTGAACATAGCTTGGCGTTTCCTGGCTTCGGCACGCTGAGCCTTCTGCGCTCGGGATCTTTCCTGCTGTTGCTGATTTTTTAGTTCTTCCAGCAAGATGCTTTGGTAATGTTTGAGTCGCTCCATTTCCTGACAGGTTTATATTGTTAGTCATATTGGTAGGAATAAGGGTTTTTTTTCCCACATACTGCTTTAGCAAAACCTTAACAGACAAAAAAAATACTGTACATACTCCAGGCAAATGGCTGCATCCACAGTTAAACTAAACAAGTGTGAATTGTTTCAGCTGCCAAATGATTTGTCAGCCTTGTATTATCTGACAGGTCCCTGGACAATGTGTCATTGCTGTGACTGGGATTATTAATTGTCCAATGAGCAAGGTAGAGGTGAAGACATAAAGCAGGCTGTGAATTTGAGGAATAGAGGAGTCCCTTACCTGGCTGTGCAGTGTGGAAGGGTTGTGTGAACTGCTAGACTAAGACACCGGTAACACTTGATGCAAATTGGCATGTGATTTGCATGCCATGCGACTTGCAAATCGCAGCCTATTGTCCACAATTAGAACTGTCATATCGGCGTGGCTTTGAGTTGGTTGAAACTGCACTGATTTCTAAAGCAGTACATGCACTACTTTTGATGCGATTTGCATAGACATCTGTATCAGACGTCTTGTAAATCGCACCTGAAATCGTCATGTCATCCGATTTTGAAATCGTGCGACTTCAGTGTACGTCGCACAATTTCAAAGTAGGGTTTGATGCGACCGGGGTGTAACTGAACAGAAATACAGTACAAATCCTTTGACAGGTAAAACAGTTCACATATATGCATTTCCACTGTGTACTTTGCTGTTTAAATGGCAGTTTAAAGTGGAACCTCAGTAAGGCTCCGTTCACACCAATGCGTTTTTAGTGCCTTTTGCAGAAAACACATTACAGTCCATTCAACATGGTTTCCTATAGAACATTTTCACATCTCTGCTTTTTTGAGCTGCTGCAATTTTTGAAAGGGTCGGGGATGTTTTTAAAAGCAAAAAGCAGCATTTTTGCTACAATAGAGTTCAATGGAGAATCTGCTGAAATGAATGGTAGTGCGCTTTTGCCGCGATTTGCGTTTTTATTCTGCCCAGCAAAAAAAAAAAAATTCCACTTTAACCTCTCCATGCCGGCCGCCGAACGCAAATGTACGGACTCCTGGTGTCTGGGCCTAGACGCTGAGCGGCCGCACATTTGCGGTCTATTAAAAAAGAACATATGTGCTGATAGCGCAAGCCCTGTGCGCTCCCAGCACACATGTCCAGTACTCACAGAAAGGTCCTGATCTCCTCTTTCGATCGGGACCTTTCCCGATCATGTGACCGCCATGATGGCGTGTCATGGCGGTCACATGACCCTAAACCCCGCCCTGCCTCCAGACTTCTGAAACCCTTATAGGGCTGGGAGGCACTGGTGTGAAGCGGTTAAAAAAAAAAAGAGCTGAACAAAACGTGGAACACCCACGTGTAGAAAAAAACACAAAATGAACTGCAAAAAGCACTGCAAAATGGACAAAAAGCAAACTGCTTTGGTGTGAACGGAGCCTTACTGAGGTTCCACTTTAAACTGCCATTTTTAAAGAAGAATTCCAGGCATGTATATTTTGTGCGTAGTTACAGTACATTGGTTCAGCTTGGACTAATGCAACTATGTTTTTTTTTCCATACCTGACCGATGCAGGTATGGATATTTTAGACGTAGTTACATTGGTCCAGCTAGTCACAATGATCTCCACTTGCTTCCGGGTTCTGTGCTGAGAGACCAGCCTGCTGTATTCTGAACACAGAAGGTAAGCAGCTTAGCACGACATTTTCTGAATGTTACAAATCGTTCTCTGATTGGACAAGGCAGAGAGGCCTCAGAAAAATGAAAATACAATGTTCATGATCAAAACTTGCTTCGTAAAACTGTATGTACTAATATCAGCTTATGATACTCTGTATTTGCGCTTACCTTCTCATGCCTTTTGCGTAGCTGTTGCCTCTGCAGAGTATGTTGTTCAACCACCTGGTGACGGAAAAGCTGATATTTCTCCTGTAGATGTCGCTCCTCCAGTCTTAGAATGACAGACTCACGAGCTGCCAGGGACATGAAAACATCTCACTTTAAAGTGAAAAACAGTTTTACTAAGAACAGAAAGCCTTCTAGATAATATATATATATCTCAGACTAAATTTGTATTTTTGCAAAACCTTTACCCGAATGTAATATGAGTATTTAAAGTGTTACTAAACCCACATCAGTCTGTATATGTAGTAAAGCATGCTTGTTATATTCACTGTGGAATCTAAGGGGTTAATCCTCTGCATTGTGTAAAAAGGCCGTTTGATCCTTTCTCTCCTCTTGTTCAAATGCCCACGCTGATAAGACAGACTGAACCTGTAGCCCTTCCGCACATGCTCAGTTTAGTGTGTATTGCTAGAGATGTGTTTTATTTTTCTTGAGAGAGTGCATGTGATCAGCACAGGGCCAATCAGCACTGTCCAGCCAGAGGTCAGGGGTCCTGCATCCTCCTAGAGCAGAAAGAAAACTCCTCCTACAAGTTTTAACCAGTGCTCAGCTGAACACTGATAGAAGTCACAAGACTGCTCTAGCTGATCATGGGAAAAGGTATTTAGCAGTTTTAAATTTACTAAAATAATTGCACTTCCATGTTCTGTGTACTGTGGGAGACCAGATATAGTGAATGCAGGGACCTGGGTTTAGTAACACTTTAAGTAACATGTTTAAGTACCTTTACTTATATCTTTCAAGATTAATTTAAAAGGATGAAACTACCAAAACAGTGAACCTAAGAACATTGCTAGGGATGCCTCCTAACGTAGATTGCTTTGGGATGATAAAAATAATTAATTAACATTTTGAAAAAAGGACTAAGCTACTACTTTGTAGAGATCCTAAAGGGAAGCTTATAAGCATTTGATTTCATGGGCTTTGAGACTTTTTGGTGCATGTACTGATTAGGATTATTAGATTTTATGAAAAAAAAAGATGAGTTGTGATATGGAATGCAGAGAACATTTTGAATTTTCAAAATGACCCTTATTTTGAAAAAAAAACCCCAAAAACAAACATTCGTTGTCCTAATAGACCTTGAGATGCCTTACAACATCCAGATTCTCAATCTACATCTCAATGACTGGCATGCAAATTACAGAGGACTTTTAACAAGAAATATTTACATTTTAAGTCTTAAAAGATCTTGGTTTTGTAGGGAAATGATGCAAAATTAATATCTTTGCAACATTTCAACTTCTGAGATGTTTTCTTGTTGCCATTGCTAAACGAGAGGTTATATTCAAGGTCAGTGTACTTAGACCAACCTTGTGGTGTCATTAGAAGATCTTGAGCTGTGATAAAGTATTTTTCACTGGGTGATCTAAAAGAATACCTTGTAGCAGAGGGCTGCTGACTGATTGTACTCTGTCAGTACTGAGAGGGTTGACTGTTTGAAGTCTCACAAAAAGAACAGAATACAGTATATTCCAATAATACTTTGCTGAAACTGAACACCTAATATCCATTAAAGTGTCTATGACTTTCTGCCCTATCTCAAATCTCAGGTCAACTCACATCTTACTGGTAATCCATACCCTCAATGCAAACCCTTCAGTTACTAAACCTCAGCATAACTTCTAACCATATGCCTAATCCATACATAATGGTATTATAGCCGTAACCCTAATGCTAATATCTTTTGCATTAAAACAAAACTATAACTTTTGACCTCAACACACTCTTATGAAAATATAATATGAAATGGATGAATTAGTTGTATCCAGCAAAGGCAGAGTCTCCCTTTCTAAGCCCTAGTTCACATATGTGCGGCCGTGTGGGCCACGTTTTGCGCGGGTACGAGAGCCCATTCATTTGAATGGACTCCCTTGGCCCGTGACACGCAGGGAAGAAGTCCCTGCACTTCTTCTGAAAACGCAGCCCGCACGGGAACCTTGGTTCCCAGTACGGTTGCGTTTTCCAGTGAAGGCGGCATGCCATTAGAACTAATAGCACCCGCCCGCAGGTCCACATTCCTCTGTGTGGGTGGTGCGGCTGCACGGATTTTTGTGAGGATCCGCAGCTGCACCACCCGCACATATGTGAACCTAGCCCTAAAGAAGCACGATGACCATGTAAAATGGCATGAATGTTTATGCCCACAGAGGCATTAGGAGGGCTATGTACCCACACCCACAGGTGATGGTTTATCTCAGGGGAAACAAACGTAATTGTCTAAAATAATCCATCATGACCAATGGTGAAGGGTCTATGGGTGTTATAATGGGGACCTATAGACATGAAGGTCATCAACTAATCCCAATAGAACTGTTTAGTCAATTGTCAGGGTCATTTTATGATATCATGAAACCTTAACAGAGGGTACCTCTCAATAGTAAGACTAGGCTTGATGCCAGTCAGTGCCATGTGTCCAAATGCAGACAGTAGGGGGTTTATTTACTAAAGCTGGAGAGTCCAAAATCAGACTCCCTTCTGCATAGAAACCAATCAGCTTCCAGGTTTCATTGCCAAAGCTTCATTGAACAAGCTGAGGTTAGAAGCTGATTGGTTTCTATGCAGAAGAGAGTCTGATTTTGGACTCTCCAGCTTTAGTAAATAAACCCCTAGTTGTCCAGTGGCTTATGGCATCATAAAATCAACTTGTGAACAGTTTCTTCCTATGCAAACCAAAGGGTTCCCTTGGGGATGGCTACCCTCCAGCATTTTTCAAATGTAACACATTGATAATCCAAAAATAGGAAATGGAAGCGTCTCACCATACAAGCCAACTTGAATTTATTGAAGCAAAGCAATGCACCAGCAATCAACCTGGTGTGAAGACTACCCAACATGTTTCAATCCTCCTAGGAGTTTAATCATGGACTCCATGATGAGGTTCCTTTAAGGAGTGAAAACACATTGGGTTGTCTTGGTTACCAGGTGGATTGTCAGTGCATCATTTTGCTTCAATCATTTCAAGTAGGCATTTACGGAGAGCGACTCCCCCTTCCTTTGTTTGGATTATCAAAGAGTTGCATGTTTAGTGGCTCATGATTGTAGAGAACCTACTCCTGCAGTCAAAAGACGAGAGAGAAGAGTGCAGCTTGCAGTGGAGTACCATCTCTTCAAGCATATTAACCACTTTTTTCTAATGCTTAAAGCCAACTCTATTGAAAAAAGTTCCTTTGCAGTGGGCCTGCTCCAGCACTGCAAAACGTACATGCTGCTCTAGGTCAAGGGGACATGAGAAGCAGTTTTTCTCACGTCCAATGCAGGACTATGCACCCTACAATAGCCTTTTATGATGTCAGAGGACCTGTGACTGCCAGAGCATAGGGGGAGAACGGGCTGCAGGGATCAGTCCTGAAGTGCAGAGAGACTGCAGTACTGGAGGATTGGGTAAAAATGCTTTTCATGTTTACCAAGGCCTAAATGAGCACTTAACCCTTGCAGTGTGGGGGCAGCCCACTGCAAGGGGATATATTTACTTTCCTTGGAGTTCAGTTTTAAGCTGGAAGTAAGAAGGGCAGATTCTCTGGCCAAATTGATGGAGCAGAACATGGCTTCATACCACAAGGAAAACAAAAATGACCAGAAAGTGGTAAAGACGCTGTAAAAACATTGTCAATGATTATTGAACATATTGCATGATCTGCTTTAAAGGAAGCTGTGAGGATAGAAATATTGAAGCTGATATTGTTGACTTGTTAATGAAGGTGCAAGCTCTGCAGCTCTGGTTACAATGTGTCACAGGGGAGGACGTGAGTGTAAATTTCACCAGTGGGGGACACAGGGAATTTTAATCATTTAGAATAGGGAAGGTTTAAAACCACTGTCAGGTTTTTCTATCGCTGTCCCAGCTGGTCTTATTTAAAATCTTCCTAACAGAGACAAAGACACAATTTTTTCTTTTTAATAGTAGAAATGAGCTATGACTACCATCAGGTTTTAATTTATGTGGAGATTTTGTAAATTAAAAGGTTTTCTCTCACTTCTGTCAATGTGAAGAGTGTCAGACAGTACAGGAAAAAGAGAACAAATGTTACATAGTTAGTCTGGCTGAAAAAAGACAAAAGTCCATCCAGTTCAAACATTAATAAAAAAAAAAAAAAGTTATAATCCTATACCCATAGTTGATCCAGGAAGGCAAAAAACCCAGCAAAGCATGATCCAATTTGCTCCTGTAGGGGAAAAAATTCCTTCCTGATCCCCGAGAGGCAATGGGATATTCCCTGGATCAACTTTACCTATAAATGTTAGTATCCAGTTATATTCTGTGTATCTAAGAAAGAATCCAGGGATTTTTTAACGCAGATCCAGCAAAAGCAAGAACAGCAATAAATACCTCAAAAGAAGAAATTGTGAGTGTACCACACACTGTAGAGGGGCAATGCTAAAGAAAGAATCAAACTCTTTTTTCCTAAAAATTATATCTGGGTTTACTATGGAAAACAGAGATTAATGTGTTGTGGGGGATCTATGTCTCATTCATAAGTAGGATGCAGAATCAGACCTGAGGCTTATAACGTGTATACATTTGTTTAAAAGCATGTTAAAAATGTGGAGTAATTTATAATTTTCCTCCAAGAAGCGAACTGCAATCCTGTTTGGCCTTTTGAGCATTATGTATAATAAAAGTAAAACTAAAGGCAAAACTTTTTTCTATAATTTTCAATAGAGTAGAGAGGGATTAGAACACTTGTCAGTTTTTTATTGCTGTCTATGCCCCCTATTATGGAGATTCACCCTCTCTATTTGTCCTATTTACCATTAGCATTGAAACTAAAAGAGAATCGCAAATTATGGGTTGTCCCCACAAAAAGTAATAGAGGGGAAATTTTCTAAAGGGGACACTATGAAGGAGGGGAGGAAGCCTCATGTTACTGTACAGATGAGTAAGAAATGAGGATCTGAATTATTTATTACATGATATCTCTTTGCAGTTAATTCAAGCATTGGAAATATTACCATCTAGAATAGATCATGGAAAATACAGATCCTCAGGGACCCTGAAGTCAAGTTTTGGTCAAATGACTGTTGACCCAATGGCAATGGATTTAATAACTCTGGAAACCCATCCTGGAAAAAAAACACACTTCTAACTGAGTACATAAAAGATATAATGGTTCTACAGCTTTGGTCCAGCTTTTCACACTTACCACTTTTGAGGCTGTGAATTTTACCGAGGTTCTCTCTCTCAATGCTCATGACCTTTTTCTTGTGTTCATTAACCACTTTTTGCAGTGTTGCGTTCAACTCCTGCTGCTGCTCTAGAAAGAGCATCTCCTAGTGAGAAAACAGATGTTTTTTGGTCATCTCCCTAACCCATTGACAGTTCTGACAAGTATCATTCCCTTCATAATATTAGAGAAGGGCTCAGATTAGCCAATTGCATCTAAAATGATCATGTAACATAAACATAGGCAATAAAAAGCAACCCTTTTTTTCAAACATTTGAATACATCTGTGGAATAATTGTACTGCCCCAAAGAAGGTGGTAATACAGACTAATTAAAATTCATGTAATCTAAAGAAACAGGATGTATAAAAACAAACAATCTGTAGCCAATTATACAACAAAATGTTCAGAGCAGCATATACAGTATTTGAGAGGGTCTTCTAAATCACCTTGGCATATACAGTATGTAAGGAGAAGAGCTACTGTTATGATTGAGGGGTTGATCAAACCACAGGCTCCTAATGTTAGAGGTGAAGTTGCTGAGGGCAGTGGTGTATTTAGATTTTGTGCCGCCCTAGGCAATGCAAAAATTGGCACCCCCCCCCCTGCAGAAAGAGCCTGACATTGACCAAGAACACCCCTGCCCTCCACCCGAGCCTTCCACTACTACTGCCCCCTATACACCAGCCACCATCCCCATGGTGAGGGAGAGAAAGATACTCACCTTCACAGCTTCGAACATCCCCGGGAACGAGAGTAGGGCTGTGCATACACCATCATGAAAACCCACAGCATCTCTCGGAACCCACCAGGTCCCCAGGCCACGTGTATCCCTTCTTCCGTCCCTTCTTCCAAGGGGCAGTGCTGCCCCCCCCCCCTGAAAAATGCGCCCTAGGCAAATGCCTTATTTGCCTTGTGGTAAATACACCCCTGGATGAGGGATGTAAACCTGAAACCTTCTGTTTCATGCTTGACAAATGGATAAGCGAACAATGGGTTTTTTCTCCCCTGAATGCCTTTGATTGTTCTGAGATTAGTTCTCTGTCACTGGTGACTGGCTTCACACATCTATCTCTATGACACTAGCTGGCACTTTTGGGCAATCCAAGCACACATTTTAACAGAAACCATCAATCTGCATCTCCAGGTACCATCTAATATCTGCAGCTAACTGCAAGTTAGTTACATGGAATACAGATGAACTGTATAGTTTACTACTGCACTAGATCAAATTGTACAAATGACTACATTTAGGATCAATAATTAAAACTTTTTAAAATAAAGGACAAACAAAAAACAAAACAACCGAGGAGTGCCAGCTTTTCAAACAAATGTTAATAGCAGGTGTTTAGGAATCCTTGTAAACACCTCTCAAATGCTTTGTTTTAACCACTTGACTTCCAGAAGATTTACCCCCCTTCCTGACCAGGCCATTTTTTGTGTTATGATGCTGCGTTATTTTAACTGACAATTGTGCGGTCATGCAACACTGCACCCAAATGAAATTTATGTCCTTTTTCCCCCATGAATAGAGCTTGAGGTGGTATTTTATCGCCTGTGCGTTTTTTCATTTTTTGCGCTATAAAAAAAAACCTGACAATTTTGAGAAAAAAAACTATATTTTCGACATTTTGCCATTAAATATGTCCAGTAAAAAAATGTAAAAAAGCAAATGTCATCATAAATTTAGGCCACAATGTATTCTGCTACATGTCTTTGCTAAAAAAAAAAAATCCCAATACGTGTAAATTAATTGGTTTACGTAAAAGTTTATCGTCTACAAATGGCGGTATATATACTGGGATTTTTTTTTTTTTTTTACTAGTAATAGCAGCAATCAGCAACTTATAGCGGGTCTGTGGGACTGAGGTGGGCATTCTGGCACTGGGGGGAACTGACTTGGTGTCACTGACATCCCCAGTTACACCAATACAGTGATCAGTGCTAATAAAAAGCACTGACACTGTACTAATGGAACTGGGCAGGAAGGAGTTAACATCTGTGGTGTTCAAAGGGTTAACTGTGTGCTGTTTTACTGTATGGTGTGTGTGTTTCACTGTAAGCACAGTGCTTTGTATGGCCCCCTACCCGGAAATGCAAAATTGCATAGTACACGTGATTTTTGCGCACCCGTGCCGCCCTGTACTGTAGCAGTATTACTTCTATAGGGCGGATGGGAAGCATCTTGCAAATGCAAGGGAATGTGTTAGTACACATGTGTATTCAAGGTAAGTGTTTGAGTCCTTTCACATGGGTGTTCCATTTTTTCATCAGTTCAGACACGTTTTTTCCAAGAAAAAAATGGATCAGTTTTTCTTCTTCCCTTTTTCATCTGTTTTTCATCCATTTTTCATCAGTTTTACATCTGTTCCATTTTTTTTTTACGGGTGAAAAATAGGGTTTTCTTCCATTAACAAAAAAAAACAAAAAGTATGTTAACGGATGCGGACAGTAATGGATATAAACAGATGATCATCCGTTTACATCAGCTAGTCCATAGAAATACATGGGTGTCCATTTTTCACTCGTCAACGGACAAATGAAAAATGGACATGCGGAAGGCCCGTGTGAAAGGGGTCTTTGTGTCCTTTTGCGTTGCTGTGCTTTTTTGGCAGCTGCATTCAACAAGTGTTCAACAAGTGCATAAATGAAGACAACTCCTCCATGCTCATGTGCAGTAAATCACAGTGGCAAGCAGCTGGAGAACGCAACTTAGAGGATATTCTTTTAGACTTGGATATTCCACAGGTAACCAAGTAGCTTCCAAGCTTTGCAGCCCCCCATCAAAGGGGGACAATAAAAAGGAAGAAGGGTGCACCAGCCTAGTGCATTACCAAATGGTACCAGTTTTTAAAATGATAAAACACAGACAATTATACTCAAAAAGCCAAATCAGTGTAAGGTACATAACATGAACCAGAAGGTGACTCCAAGTATAACCTCACTTTATAGTTCTAGATAGGCACAAACGACACCCAATGCAGAGCAGATACTCTCATGTTTTGAAGATAAACCCTATTCATTATGCCTGGTACACACCACTGAGGAGCTCATGAGGAGGTCTCTGTACTAACTATCAATGTTAATAAGTGATCTCCCTGCTGAGCTATTGCATTCTGACGGGGGGATATACAGGCCGAATGTCAGCCAGTTTCTGCTGAATTTGCCAATATTTGGCGCTCTGATGAATAGGGTTTACCCTTCAAACACAGGGGGTTATTTACTATTATTGAAGAGAGCAAAATCTGGTGCAATTCTGCATAAAAATTAATCCGCTTTAATTTTTTATTGCCAAATCCTAACTGAACAAGCTGAAGTTAGAAGATGATTGGCTCCCATGCACAACTGCACCAGAGTCTGATGTCTTTTAGTTATGTTTAGCCTGCTTCAGTCACTTTTGACAGACAGACACCCACGGGTGAGAGCCAGGTGCTTGATATATGCGATATATATAAAAACCTGTCGGGTTCTAATCCCTCTCCACTCTATCCAAAAAAAAAAAAAAAAAGATTTTCCCTTTAGTTACTTATTTCCTTATGGCACCATTGAAATAAAACAGCACTGTGTACTAGATACATGTTTGTTTACATTTCCCTGGAGTTCCCCTTTAAGTGAGAGAGGGCGGAGTAAGAGAGGGGGGGGGTGAGAGAAAAAAGAGTGGTGATCAGTATGTCTGCTACTCAAAATTATGGCACTGTCCCCCAATAATATGAAGTTATAGTGAGCACACAACCCCCTTCTTGGAACACATGGTCTCCATTATGGTACAATGTGCCCCCCCCCCCAGATCACTCTCAGGGCCCCCTAATACATAAAGTGACCACAAAGCCTGCCTCCCACAGACGCGTCTCCCCTCAGGCTCTCTCAGCCTGTCACACTCCAGTTCTCAGCTCTCCGATCACACACAGCTCTCCCGCCTTCCACTGTTACACCCCGAGTTCTCTCACTGGTCCGAGAAGTGTCTTCCTCCTTCTCGTGCTCTCTCGAGCTCTGTCAGTCTCTCTCTCCTTTCAGGACTTAACCCGGAACCCGCATGTGCCATCCACCCAACCTTCCAGGAGCCTGTCATGGGGCCCCCTCTGACCCTGGGCCCTTGGGCAGTGCACAAGTGCCCGAATGGTTAGTTTGCCCCTGGTGCCGGCACCCCACTCCATGTCCATTAGCTGTCTGATCATCCTTAGGACATGCGACCCAGTGTTCCCCCAAGGCCAGTCAGGGCCTGGTTTGTGCCTATCTGGAACTACAAAGTGGCACTACAGTTGGGGTTCCCTTCTGGTTCATGGTATGTGCCTTACACTCATTTGGCTTTGTGAGCATAATTGTCTGTGTTTTACATTTTAATTAATGTACCATTTGGTATTGCACTAGGCTGGTGTGTTCCCCTTCTTCACTTCCTGATGTCTTTTTGCTGTCCACCATCAAACAAGAGTCAAATTCTAGAGAAATGCAACCCTTGCTGATGTCTGTATTGGAAATAAGCTGAAAAACTACTTTTCTGAAAACGATTCTGAAAAGTTTCTGAAGTGCTTTGAGAAGCTGAAGGAATGTTAACTGGCCCTTTGAAATTTTGGAGACCCTGTAAGAGCTTATCTGATATTTATGGGATTCTATGTTTTCTAGAGAAATGGTTTCCCAACTATGGCCCTTTGCTTGCCATTTATACACAAACCATGGTTTAATTGCCCCCAGTGCAGGGGGGCACCATTCCCCCCCCACTAACACCAATGCTGGGGGCCCTAGCTGTCCTCCTTTCACACACCTGTTTTGGGTTTACTGAACACCAACGATGGGGCCCCATTCCCCCACTGACACCAAAGATGGAGCATTATTCCTTTCACCGATAACCAATGTTGGAGCACTATTCATCCACTAAAACCAATTATGGGGCCTTGATTACTCCCAGTAGCCACCACGGAGGAAGCCAGCCCCCCTAAAGCCTGAAGGAATGTTAACTGGCGCCAACTGAGCTCCGCCGAGGATGTTGATGCAACAGGTACAATACAAGTAATTTCAAAAACAAAACAATGGCTGCAACAGCACAGAATACGACTTCTGTGAGTGGCCCAGTCCAAGTCCCTGACCTCAAACCCCTTGCATACAGAGTTGACTCCAGAACGTTGTGCAGGTCTGATGAAAGTTTGGAGACCCTGTTCTACAGAACGCATTACACCTTGCTAGCTACTGATATATGTTAAAAAAGTCCAGTCAAATAATAAAATATGTAGTCCTGATACCCCATTGAAATACAGAGCGAAAAAAAATCTATAATATACAATTCAACTGATCCATAAGATAAGCCCTTTAAGATCCATTCCCATTTATGCTGTGTATTAAACACGCATTACCGCCATGCACAAAAAAACACAAACTGCCATGCGTTGGGGGTGCCATTTTTATTTTCATTAGTAATGCAACACACTATTACAGTAGTAGGCAATGCACCCGCACTGCAGTACACCATGCCATACTTTTTGGTGCACTGTGGTCAAAAAAAGGGGCCACATCCAATTCTTCCTGCTTTAAAGGTGCGCTGCCAACCCATTAGCACAGGGTATTAATGTGCTGACATAATGCAAAATGTGAAAGGAGCCTTAGAGATTTGAAAATATAATTAAGCGTTCTTGCATGACAAGACCACTTACTGTTATCTCACATATATATTTTATTATTATACCCAAATTTACCACCCTAACTCCTCCCACAGTTTTTACACTACATAGACAGTAATATACCGAAACATGTGGATTGTTCCCGATTGGTGTGCTATTACTTTGTGGAACGTTTCGCCGAATGGTTCACGAAATATCGGCATTTTTGTGGTGAAATTGGTCCCATAGGAATGAATGGCGGAATGTTCAAAACTAGAGTGGGAGCTGACAAAAGCTAGAGTGTGAGCAGAAAAATCAGGACATGATTTCTAAATTGCCATCACTCCCTCATTTTCAAGCCCACCTACACAAATCTTATATCAAAACATTCAGCTATCCCTGCTGCCACTAAAAATGTCCACGGCTAAGCCATAGTCCTGATAGTTTTCACAATATGACCATTTTTTTGCAACTCACGCCACCCATTGACATTCATTGAAACTCCACTCTAGCCACCTCAAATTTGAAGGGCAATTTCTAAACTGTGACTGTGCCTTCATTTTTAATATTTCAGAGACATACTATGCATCAAAATGTAGGTCTGGGTCTTGTTATTCTTACAATATAAAGCACTTCAGTGTAGGATTTATAATTTTTAAACTACAACCGTTTGAAGATGGCAACCACCAGTGAAGTGAGCAAGTTGGAGCAGTTTGTTTTTAACCGCTCTTCTCTGCCCTTGCTGTAGAGTGAGTTGCCATAGGAACCCAGGTGTGTGAGCTGGCAGCAGAGTGACAAGCCACTCCACCCAGTTACTCCGCCCACTCCAGTTGTAGAATACTGGTGGAGGCCAGAACACTTCACACAATTTCCCCAGAAATTGTAGCTTTTCTTGTTTTATTTATAATGCACAGTGCTGAACATCATGCATTATGCTTGAGTGAACTGATGTCACTGCAGGGTTTATTTACTAAAGCTGGAGAGTGCAAAATCAGACTCACTTCTGCACCTCAGCTTATTCAATTAAATTCTGGTAATAAAACCTGGAAGCTGATTGGTTTCTATGCAGAAGTGAGCCGGTTTTTGCACTCTCCAACTTTAATAATCAAACCCCTGTGTCTAATACACTCACTGGCCACTTTATTAGATACACTTGTTCAATTCCTTGGTAACACAAATTGCTAATCAGCCGATCACATCGCAGCAACTCAATGCATTTAGGCATCCAGACGTGGTGGAGATGATTTGTTGAAGTTCAAACTGATCATCAGAATGGGAAAGAAAGGGGATTTAAGTGACTTTGAACATTGTTGGTGCCATGCAGACTGGTCTGAGTATTTAAAAAAACTGCTGATCTACCGGTATTTTCATGCACAACCATCTCTAGGGTTTACAGAGAATGGTCTGAAAAAGAGAGAATATCTAGTGAGTGACAGTTGTGTGGATGATAATGCCTTGTTGACATCAGAGGTCAGAGGAGAATGGGCAGACTGGTTGCTGCAACATTCAGATGGTAGGGTCAGAATTTGGCATAAACAACATGAAAGCATGGATCCATCCTGCCTTATCAAAGGTTCAGGCTGGTGGTGGTGCTGGAGGTGGTGGTGGTGGTGGTGGTGCAATGGTGTGGGTGATAGTTTCTTGGCACTAGCAAGATGTACCTAATAAAGTGGCCGATGAGTGTATATCTATATCTGTGAAATAAAGACTGAATAGCAATTAATCTCATCTTGAATTCTGTCATAACATTACTGTCTCCCTTTATTCTGTAAACCAGCTGTGCTACATAAATCCTGTAGAACAATAAGAATTAGGTACAGCTGTCATTTTTTTTTTTTCAGAGCAGGTTTGAACATTTAAAACATAATTGAATTAGTTGCTAAGTAGAAACCAGACACAACTTATTGTAGACATATTGGGAGATGAAACAAACATCTAAAGAAAGAGACAAGCAGATTTTCCTGTTGATTCTCGCAGCAATGCAACACATCAAAGACTTGTCCTATGCTTCAAAATTGATATTAAGATTTTTTTTTTTCAGTTGCAACAGGAAAGTAAAAGCAAAAAGACAAATGTTTTTTGAGAGTAGTCTCACCTCCTGCACCTTGTCCTTTAGCTCTGCCCTCCTCTTGCTCCTCTCCTTCTGGTGCTGAGCTCGGAGACGGAGTGCATCTTGTCGCAGGCGGTTGGTGTGCTCTTGCTCCCTCCGTGCCCGTGTCTGCTCCATCTGTCTCTCCAGGGCCTCAATCTCTCGTTCATAATACTGCTTCTTTCCCTGGGAGTGCAAAATGATCACTAGCACCGAACACATGCAGGCCTAAGCTTTAACCCTGACTAATCCCTGCAATGATTCTCGATCCTTGGGTAAAACCATCAAGCACTTCTCTCATCTATATTAGATTTTCCCTATTGTCAGTTTAACACAAAGCAACAGATTCCTGTAAACATTTCTAGTCTGGCCTTGATGGTGCCCTGACATCCTCCATTCAGGGATTACTATGGGAACACGCCAGCATCATCAACATCTATGTATTGTGACACTTCTTACTATGATCTCCTGCTCGATGTGACGGAACATGATCTCCCTCTCCCTCTGCATTCGTTGCTCCAGCTGACTCTGGGCTTTCATCTCTTCTTTCTGCAACAGTCTCAACTGCTGAAGCTCTTGACGCCTGCAAAATACATTAGATGAGCGCTTCATCCGTTGATTTTTAAGAGCCCTTTGCTCAAGAGCATAAAGAGGACACAGACTGACAATACAGCAGATAGGCAGTTAACAGCCGCACAGCTACACTGTGACAGATTTCCGTGCAAATGGTATATATTCATTGCCTACGCAAAATGTAATCATCCTTTTTTGTGTCGAGGTGGATGAAAAGGTTTGTTTGTTTCTTTTGACTCAATGACGTCACTTTCTGGCTCATTTATTATTTATTAAGGTAGTGCAAAGAGCATTAATAATATGCAAAATGCAGCAATCCCTTTTCTTTCTATTTACTAAGGCAGCGCAAAAGAGCATTCATAACGTGCAAATGCAGTAATCCCTAGCAACTGATCTGATTGGCTGCTGTGCCTAATAGCATATCGTTATTGTTCTTTCCGCAGCCTTATTGGGCTGTTTGTGTATAATAGAGTAGCCCTTTGACAAAGAATGTCAGAACCAAGGCAGTTAAATCCAGGAGCCAGAAAATGGATAAATTCATTTATGTAGCAATCAGCTATTCCACAGGGCTCTGCAGAGAAAACAGAGCTATTCATATGAACAGGAATAGGAAAATGCTCCAGATGCCAGGTTTTATTACACATTGGCTCTTGGGCTCCTGGAACTCTTAATCTGGCATGATTAGTATCTTGTGATTTGTTGTACTATCATGGCCACAAAAATTGACACCCCTGCATTTCTGTCAGATAATGCACCACTTCACTCAGAAAATTGTTGCAATGACAAATGTTTAGGCATTCTCATGTTTATTTCTTTTGTTTGTAGTGGTATGACACAAAAAAGTGGTGAAACAAAAAGCCAAATCTATGCTGTTCACCTGATGTGCTACTCAGTTATCACAGAAATGAAACAACAACAAATCAATTAAATGAGTATTTGAGTCCCAAAATACAAATATAATCAGTGCAGTCCAATAGATTAAATGCTTAATCCACACATCATCCAATGGTGATCACAAAAACCCATTTAGGAGTGAACCAACGTGCTTCCAACACCAGACAAATGCTTAGCCTCTTACCAGAAACATTGATCTCATTAACACGAGGTCAATCTACGCCTGTGTGCCCTTTGGTCCGTGCTGACCGTGCTTTCAGCTAAATATCCTCTCGTCCTCACTGAATGCTCACAAGTGGATAAAGATTTCCATCAAAGAAGGTACAACGTCCCTCCAAAAAAGGTTTCTATAGGAGCCACCATAGTGTTGTACCGTACAAAATGTTTATTTAAAATTTGGACATATACTCACATATAAAATGATTCAGAGCGCATATCAGTCAGACACCAATGTACGAATGATTGTATGCATGTGTCGTCACCGGCAAAGCCCCCACCGGGCGGGGTTTTGCCGGTGACATCACATGCATGCAAACATTGGTACCTTGGTGCCTGACTGATATGCGCTCTGAATCTCAATGTTTCTGGTAAGAGGCTAAGCATTTGTCTGGTGGTGGAAGCACAATGGTTTACTCCTAAATGTGTTTTTGTCATCATTGTTGGATGATATATGGATTGAGCATGTCTATCATTTAATTTGCTGAACTGCACTGATAATATTTGGATTTTGAGACTCATACACTCATATTTACCATATTTTTTGCTCCATAAGATGCGCCTAGGTTTCAGAGGAGAAAAACAAGAAAAAAAATATTCTGAACCAATGGACTGCAGACATAGTACAGGAGATGACCAGAGACTGCGGACATAGTACAGGAGATGACCAGAGACTGCAGGTACAGTACAGGAGATGACCAGAGACTGCGGATGTAATACAAGAGATGACCAGAGACTGCAGACACAGTACAGGAGATGACCAGAGACTGCGGACACACTACAGGAGATGATCAGAGACCGCGGACACAGTACAGGAGATGACCAGAGACTGCAGACACACTACAGGAGATGACCAGAGACTGTGGACATAGTACAGGGGATGACCAGAGACTGCAGACAGTACTGGAGATGACCAGAGACTGCAGACAGACTACGGACAGTACAGGGGATGACCAGAGACTGTGGTCAGTACAGGGGATGACCAGAGACTACGGACAGTACAGGGGATGACCAGAGACTGCAGACAGTACAGGGATGACCAAGAGACTGCAGACAGTACAGGAGATGACCAGAGAGACTGCAGACAGAGTACAGGGGATGACCAAGAGACTGCAGACAATACAGGAGATGACCAGAGACTTCAGAGAGTACAGGGTATGACCAAGAGACTGCAGACAGTACTGGAGATAACCAGAGACTGCAGACAGTACAGGGTATGACCAAGAGACTGCAGACAGTACAGGAGATGACCAGAGACTGCAGACAGTACAGGGGATGACCAATAGACTGCAGACAGTACAGGAGATGACCAGAGACTGCAGACAGTACAGGGGATGACCAGAGACTGCAGACAGTACAGGAGATGACCAGAGACTGCAGACAGTACAGGGGATGACCAATAGACTGCAGACAGTACAGGAGATGACCAGAAAGTGCAGACAGTACAGGAGATGACCAGAGACTGCAGACAGTACAGGAGATGACCAATAGACTGCAGACAGTACAGGAGATGACCAGAGAGTGCAGACAGTACAGGGGATGACCAAAAGACTGCAGACAGAACAGGAGATGACCAGAGACTGCAGACAGTACAGGGGATGACCAAGAGACTGCAGACAGTACAGGAGATGACCAGAGACTGCAGACAGTACAGGAGATGACCAGAGACTTTGGACCTTTGGGGATGGAGGGGGATTGGGTACCTGAATTTGAGTTGTCCTCCCTTTAGTGTGGGCACCCGGCTGTGATAGCCGGGTTGCCCACTGCACATGCTTGAGAAGCGCCGCACTTTGTGAATGGCCCGGCATTTTCTGGGACACATGACAGGTCCCAGAAGACGCCAGGCCATTCACAAAGCGCAGTGCTTCTCGCTCAAACTAAAGATGCTGGCGCGGGGACTGTACAGCGCTGTGACAAACGATGCTGGCGCGGGAAGACTGTACAGCGCTGGACCGAGGAAAAAAAAAAAGTGCGTCTTATGGAGCGAAAAATACGGTAATTGATTTGTTGTTTTTGCATTTATGTGATAATTGAGTAGCGCACCAGGTGGACAGCATATATTTGTGAGTTTAGTATTCTAACTTTTTTTTTGGTTGCTGCACTCAAAAATTCATTAATTTTCAGTATATTTATATATATCTTTTACCAATCGCAAATACTTTTTAAATTTAAAAAAGCCAAATCTGACACATTCTACGCAAAACCCCAAATATGGACTGGACAAAATTATTGACACCTCAATTTAATATTTGTTATTTGTTAATATTTGTTAACACAACTCTTGGAAAAAATGACTGAAATCAATCGCTTCTTGTAACCATCAATGAGTTTCTTACACCTCTGTACTGGAATTTTGAAGCACTCTTCTTTTGCCAACTGCTCCAGGTCTCTCATATTGGAAGGGTTCCTTTTCCCAACTGCTGTTTTGAGATCTCTCCACAGGTGCTCTATGGGATTGAGATCTGGATAGTTCAGTACTCTCCAGCGCTTTGTCTGAAACCATTTCTCTGTGCTTTTTGATGTGTGCTTTGGGTCATTATCCTGCTGTAAGACCAATGACCTCTGATGGAGACCCAACTTTCTGACACTGGGCCCTACATTGTACCCCAGATTTCTTTGGTAGTCTTCAGATTTCATAATGCCATGCACATGGTTAAGACATTCAGTGCCTGAAGCAGCAAAGCAACCCCAAAACATCAGTGAACCTCCACCATGTTTGACTGTAGGGACTGTATTTTTATAAAAACAGTAGAATGATGGGCTTGACCAAAAAGCTGTAATTTTGTTTCATCTGTGCACAGCACATTCTCCCAAAAGGATTTTAGCTTCCTCTAGTAAGTTTTGGCAAATTCTAATCTGGCTTTTTTTATGTTTCTGTCTCAGCAGTGGGGTCTTCCTGCAATTCCTACCATAGCGTCCCTTTTCATTCAGATGGTGACGTATAGAGCGAGATGACACAGTTGTACATTATGCCTGAAGGTCAGCTTGAGTTTGTGGGGAAGCTGATCAAGGTTCTTTATCAACCATTCAAACAATCCTTTGTTGCAATCTTTGATCAATTTTTCTCTTTCATCCACATCCATGGAGACAGTAGACACAGGAACATTAAGATCTCTGAAGATGGGCTTGTAACCTTGAGTTTGGCCATGCCTTTCCACAATTTTTGTTCTCAAATCCTAAGACATTTCTGTGCTGCCCTTTCTCTTCTCCATGCTCCATGTGGCAGACAGAGACACACAACAGAAAGGTTGAGTCAATTTTTCACCATTTTAGCTAGTTGATGGTGTGATTTATATATTGTCAGCACCCGGTAATTGATACAGGTGAGTTTAATTTCAAATTACAGGGGTATCACAAACCTGGAATGCAATTATTTCTTCTTAATTTTGAGAAGATGCCTATGATTTTGTCCAGTCCATTTTTGGGGTTTTGTGTGGAATGTGCCAGATTTGGCTTTTTGTTTATCCACTTTTTTGTGTCATACCAATACAAAGAAGAGAAATAAACATGAGAATGCCTAAACAGTTGTAATTTCAACAATTTTCTGGGTGAAGTGGTGCATTATATGACACAAAAGCAGGGGTGCCAATACTTTTGACCATGACTGTAGCACATACGGTATTTTGAAGACAGGTACACTTTAATAAGTATGGCTGTACAGAGTGAAGCCAGCCATTCTGAATTCAGTTATGATTCATAAGATTATAGCCAATCAATCAGCCACTAGTTACATGGAATGTTCTAATGCAGGTGAGCCACGCGCAACTCCTCAAATTAAGGTACAGCCTGGAAAATGGGAATGTCTATAGTTTGCCTATTACCAACTGTATACTCTACTTGGTGGGGCACTTAAAGGATGGCATTGAATCTTCAGGCAAGTGTCAACACATACAGTGTGTTATAAGCAGGAAACATAATTAACTGAAGTTCAGCTTACCTAGGCAAAAAAAAGTAGTTATGAAATTATGGTTCGGTAGTTATGGTTCGGTAAACATTTTGTTATATCTGAAAAAAAATCCATGTGAACATAACAACCTCGTGATGACTAAATACTGTGGTACTGTCCAGACTGATAGATTACCAAATACATTTCCTGGATGATTTCTTGACATTGTTCACTTTAACATACTGAACCATAGAGGGGAATTTAGTAAGACTGGAGCAGAAAGAATCTGCAGCAGAGGAATATTTACTAAGACTGAAGCAAAGAATCTGGAGCAGTTGTGCATGGCAACCAATCAGCTCATAGCTTTCAAACCTTAAATGAACAAGCTGAGGCTAGAAGCTGATTGGTTATTATGCACTGCTGCTCCATTTTGTGTCTGCTCCAGTCTTATTGAAATTTCCCCCATAGAGACTACCTGCTGCCCATTAGGTATAATGTATAAGTCATAAGTTAGTTAGACAGTCATACATTGTCAGTCATAAATTATCATAACTTATACATTAGTCTTACTTTGCACAGTAAAAGCAAGCAATGCCACTAACTCAACCATCGATTGGACCAACCAATAATCATACACATGCGGTAAGCGCACATTCCCACATTGGAAATGACTGCTACACAGAGGTATTTAATACATGTTGCCTATAAGTCAATAATTTTATTTTTATATGGGCAGAATATACCAAAGCTTTCATTTTAGTTGTGCCACATACACTCATTGGCCCAACTGATCATTGTGATCAAAGGTGATCATTGTAGGTGACAGAGTTTAGTCATATGAATACAAGCAGATGTCTCAATCCTTGTTCTTGGTGAGATGTCTGCCAAGAGCCATTCCATTTGAGAAAACATGAAAACTAAAGCTCTTACTGCAAAGTCGTATTTGAGCAGTGACCATGCAATCTTGATGCAATATCTTATCTTCAACAAATTTATTAGAATGAAACGCCAGTCTCATTATATTAAAACTTTCCTCCCATTTTCTTGCACCTCCCATAGTCCTTTGTTGTTTGTGCCAAATTAAAGCAGTGCTAATGCACAAGAAAAGTTCAGAGAATGAGCTATCCTCTCTTCTATCTGATGTACAGGCACACAAATATATTGCAAATTCCAAAACTGGCAACTAATTTGTGAAATTGCTATACATCTGGGTCTTAGTCCATTAAGTTGTATCCAGACCCCAAAGCATTATGCCATGATGCAAGTTGACAATTTAGAGGGAATCAACCTACGTGATACAATGGCACAGGAAGTGCTGCTTAGATTGCCACATTTCTGTGTAGTCATTCCTGGTGGTTAGTTGTCTGCTATTGTTTGGGTTTCCTCCACTCAAACTGAGTGGAAGAGAAAGGAGGCCAAAAAAAAATATAAATATATATATATATATATATATACAGTTGTGTTCAAATAAATAGCAGTATGTTGAAAAAAGTGAATGAAGCTCAAAATCCTTCTAATAGCTTTTATTTCCATACACACAAATGCATTGGGAATACTACACATTCCATTCCAAATCAAAACATGAAGAAAAATATATCAAATTTGTGTTGTTCTGCTAAAAAAATTGAAGAAAAGTGAATAATAGACTGTTCAAAAAAAGAGCAGTGTTTGTATTCTTCTTTACAAACTCAAACATTCACTATATAAACTGAAAAATGTTAGAAGATTTTGCTTTCCTTTGAATCACTTAATGAATATTTAGTTGTATAACCACTTTTTCTGAGAACTGCTGTACGTCTGTGTTGCATGGAGTCAACCAAATTCTGGCACATGTGAACAGGTATTCCAGCCCAGGATGATTGGACTACATTCCACAGTTCTTCTCTATTTCTTGGTTTTGCCTCAGAAACTGCACAAGTTTTCTATTGGATTAAGATCCAGGGATTGGGCTGGCCACTCCGTAACATCAATCTTGTTGGTCTGGAACCAAGATGTTGCACGTTTACTGTTGTGTTTGGGGTCGTTTTCTTGTTGGAACACCCATTTCAAGGGCATTTCCTCTTCAGCATAAGGCAGCATGACCTCTTCAAGTATTCTGATGTATTCAAACTGATCCATGATCCCTGATATGCGATAAATAGGCCCAACACTGTAGTATGAGAAACATCCCCATATCATGATGCTTGCACAACCATGCTTCACTGTCTTCACAGTGTGCTGTGGCTTGAATTCAGTGTTTGGGGGTCGTCTGACAAACTGTCTCCGGCCACTAGACCCAAAAAAAACAATCTTACTTTCATCAGTCCACAAAATGTCTTTTTTTCAACAGTGGGACTTTGCGGGGGCTTCTTGCAGATAGCTTGGCTTCACATAGGCGTCTTCTAATTGTAACAGTACTCACAGGTAACTTTAGACCTTCTTTGACCTTCCTGGAGCTAATTGTTGGCTGAGTCCTTGCCATTTTGGCTATTCTTCTATCCATTCAAATGGTAGTTTTTCGCTTTCTTCCACGTCTTTCAGGTTTTGGTTGCCATTTTAAAGCATTTGCGATCATTTTAGCTGAGCAGCCTATCATTTTCTGTACTTCTTTATATGTTTTCCCCTCTCCAATCAACCTTTTAATCAATGTTCTTCTGAACAATGTCTGGAACGACCCATTTTCCTCAGAATTTCAGAGAGAAATGCACTGTAACCAGCATGTACATTTGCTGCCTTCCTTCCTTAAATAAGGGCAATAATTGCCACCTGTTTTTCAAAGACTGAATGACCTCACTAATGGAACTCCACACTGCTATTATTTTGAACATGCCCCTTTCAATTAGTGATTCAATTACACAGAATCAGCAGCATGCATGTCATGACTGTTGGGTCTGTTGGATTTCTATTATTCTACTACACCTGCTAATAAATTATTTGCCATGTAGAAATATCATTTCTACCAAAAACAGTGATTGATCGGGTTTATACAGCATTTCCACTGCTTGGCCAAGTACTGTGACAAATATGTTTTTTTTAACATCAGAGCACTGATGACAGTCAGTAGTAGAGTTTGTTAAGTAGTCATGATCCACAT